AACTATCTTAATTAAATCAAACAGAATAACATGCAGTCTATTACGCCTTTATCCCTAACCATTACAGAGTCCAGAAACTAATCATTGGAGATTTTCTGAATAAACAGACAATATACTAGGAAAAGATCACAAATATGTACAGCAATATGCTGCAAACCATAGTATTTATAAAACTAAAGAAACAGAAAACACACCGTTTATTAGTGCCGAGCCCATTTCCATGCAACATGGAACTGTCTGTGTTATTTCCGATTCTATCTCTTATAGACCGCTTGGTCCCAGATGAGGGAAGAGAAGAAGAGAAAGAAACATCTGCAGTAGATATATCCCTCTTCACAACCTAAACTCAAATGCACAATAGCAGGTTATTGAAATGAACTCAAATAATGCATTGAACATATATTGGAAACAAACTATATTACAATGCTCAAAGTCTCAAACAATGAAAAGAGTATTTTCACAGTTATAAAAAAACCATTTTGCATCACTGATGCTAACAACAAGAGAAAATAACAAGTATGCGTCATGTATATATCATGGAAAACAAACAGAAACTAAAAACGTCAATTTTACTCATGATTTCCCAGAACACTATCTTCAATGATGATTTATTCTCATCTTTCAAAACCATTATTCGATCAAGCAGGTAGAAACAAGCCAGTTCCAAAAAAATATGAAGTTAAACCTAATTAAAGTAGCAGACAACAATAACAAATGAGGATTCATCAATAAAATCAATTTTGAATTAGAAAATATTTCAAATTACCTGACCACTACGTCCAAGAGTAATGGTTACTCTACCCCTCGAAGCATCAGACATATCGATAACTCAAACCTTAAAACTACGAATTTGACAAACAAAAATCTTCAGCTGAATCGATGGAAAATGCAAGGAAGCAACGGAATCGACGGAGAAGTGCGAAGAGTAAACCGAAACCTAACCCTAATCTTCGAGTTCAGGATTCGGATTGGAGAGAGAGATGAAGCGCGCGATGCTTTTGTTTATGGTAGAAAATGTCAATGGTAGAGGTCCGAATTCCGAAATAGGAGTTCTGTGATTGAACCAACACCGTTCGATCAAAGGACTATACTGATGGTGGGACCAACCCTTCTTCATATTGTTTTTTTTCTCATGTTTTTGTCATTGGGCTTTGACAAGCCCGCTTTTGGTCTAATGCTTGACCAAATAAGATTAAAAAATGAGTAAAAATTCATTGACTATAAGAGTAAGTTTTTTAAATTTATTTTACATCTTAGTCATCAATTTTTGAGAAATTCAGTGGTTTGAATTAGTAGATCCTCACCCTTAAAAAATTATCTTGTGAATTTTTTTTATATTTTTATGGGAGGAGCATGAGAAATAAGTTTCTCATCAGTTATTTCATTATCTTCGATATGATTAATATATATTGGATTATATTCTCATTAGTTGAGATATCATAAACTTTTTATATCTTTGTGGCTTAATCAATTGAGTTAACTTATTTGAGTTGGGTCTCTCATTTCATGTAGTTAATGTTAGTTCAATAGTGTCTTTGAGTGATATTAAGATATGGATGTTATTTCATGATATTGATTGAGGAGGAGCAAATCTTGAAAGACAGTAATGAATCCTGAAAAATCAATAAAAGAATTAAGCTACAGAATCAAGGGGAAGGTACCAGAAAAATTGGGTATGGACAATAATGAGCCTTGTTATACACTTTTAGTTTCTTGTTATCAAAATGAATTATGTTCTAGATTGAATTCGACTCGGTTGAAATATCGGAATTGTTCAATTCGACTGTTCAGCTCAAATAGATTTGGTTTGTCAAAAGTTCAAGAACTCTTTAGTTTAACTTATTAGCTTGATTGATTCAATTAGTCAGCTCGATTGTTGGATTTAACTTAATATATATAAAATTAAAGATTTTCTATATATACATGTATGTATCAGATACATTAGCATGGGCATATACTATTTCACTAGTTAAAGATAAGGCATATATTTAAAATCCAAATCTAACTTAAAAGCTTGTTAAAAAGTATATACCGCTATAAATCATTTCAATATATTAAGATGACTGTTTTTACTTTTTAAATAGATATATTAAATACTAACTATTGATTTACCACTTTTATATTTTATATTCAAAACTTACATAAAATAATTTTAGTGATACAAACTAATATAACATAAATATATAATACAGTTAAGCAGCTCCGTTGATTTTAGATGACTTAAAAGCTCTATATATATTAATTTTAATAGATTTTTTAAAAAGCCTTAACATGTATTTGGTATAGATTGTGCTTTAGATTGAATTTATATTTATATATGATTATAATATATAAGATTATAAACTAAAAAATAACTGAACATTTTGAAAATGTAAAAAGTAATACAAATTAATGGTGAATGTTACACTTTATTATACTCTTACAAAAAATTAATAAAAACAATTATATAAAAAATGTATTAAGTTTATTAAAAACAACTAGACTGGCGTGCTTATTAAAAATGATTGAAAAGACTATATAACATTTTTTTTTTAATTTCGTTACCATGTGTGTTAAGTTACTCTATAGTCTCAAGTTTGTTGTAAGATATATCCTCAATTGAAATTATATTGTTTAGCACTTTAGTTAAAAAATTGGTAGAAATGTTTAATAATCGTAACGGAAGGGAAGGTGATGAATTTGTACTAGAACCTTGTTTAAAATCACAACCAATTCAAAGCGACGCTTCATGTCCAAAGTAAGTAACAAAATCATGGAGTAAATATTACTATTTCATGGATGAATGATCAGAAGCGAAATCAGTTTTTTATTTTGCCTATGCAAAACTCTCAAAATGTACAATTTCCAAGAAAAAATATGGTGACAAATTATATAAGAGAATAAAATATCTTCTCATATTAAGAATATAAAATTATTGAGTAATAGAGAGTGGTTGATGAGTACTAATAAATTTTTGTAAGCTTAGAATTTGTGGTTGATGGATAGGGTCCAAATATTGGTTAATTGAAAAGTAGAAACACAATATATTAAAATGTGAGAGATCGCTTATTTTAAGGGTAAGTTTTTTAAACTTATTTTACATCTTAACCATCAATTATAGGGAAATCTAATGGTTTGAATTAGTTAGTATATTTAAATCATTGAATTTCCCTAGAATTGATTGATAATATATGAAATAAGTTTAAAAAACTTACGACTAAGTGAATATCTCATCTATTAAAATTTCATAATTATGAAATAATTAGCAATCACAATAGAAGATGATACATTGCATGAGAAAAAGTAAACTAAAGGAGCACATGAAAAGAGCTAGTGTAGCTGCTTCTAAATATTTGTGTTCCTTCTTCCTCGTTTAACACTATGAATTTACCTTTGTGGCCTGGACATTCTTTCTGGTCCACTCACTCAGTTCAGTGAAATAAGCTTTTACTCAGAGTAGTTAATTTATATATGCAATTCCATACCCATAACTCTAAATCAAAACCACTAATTAGTAACTAAATCATTTCCAGTATCGATTGTAACATGTGATCTTACAAAATTTAAAAGGTTTAAATTTTAAATTACTTTTAAATAAAAAATTATAAATCATCAAATCAATCCACACTTCACATTCTAATATTTGGGAGAATCCCATTTAACTAATTAAGGTAGATTAAGCAAACATGAATCTTAGTACCAAATCATATCTCGCATCAATAAAAACATGTTATGTTAATTTAAAAATTTATTATATTTCTATTTTGGAAGGGGATTCACTTACTCCAATAGTAAGTTTAAAACACTCACTCTATATCATATCCATCAATTCTTGGGAAATTCAATGGTTTGAATTAGTGAGTAGATATAAACCATTAGATTTTTTAGAATTAATGACTAAGATATGAAATAAGTTTAAAAAACTTACTCTTAAAGTAAGTGGATCACTCATCTTTTATTTTTGGTTTATTGTTATTATTGGTGCTGGACAAAACTTATGACATGATTTAAAACAATAGATAGTTAATTGTTGTTGAGTTTAAACTTTTGTAAGTTATCCATAGGACCCCATTGAGTAAAAGTCTAGTGTTAGAACAGAATCGAACATGCAATTCATGCTAGCTGAATTTCTAACTACAAATTTATCTTTGTAACTATTTATTTGAGTTTGACTCACTTATGATAATGTAAAAAATCAAATATAATTTCTATATATTATTTTTTTCCTCTAATTTCTTGGATGGAGTCATAGTTATCATTAAAGTTTTCCATAATTTCCGACTCAATAATTAACTATTCTGATAAAAAGGAAAACTTCATACTGTGCCAACTCATGAGAATCATATATACTTGGACAAATAATGAGGTGAGATTAATTTGAACCCAATAAATAAGAAAACAATACCAGGACGAGAGGTTTTATATTGTATTAGTTAATTAATTAAATCACGGTGCAATCAGAGAAAACAATCCTTATTAAAAATTCTTATGTTTTCTACACAAATCTAACAGATTTAAGTACGTAAATGGATGGGTTAACAAAATTGTAGAAGGTATCTTCTGTTATGGAAATTTGAATGAGGAGAAACTTGTTTTTTATCGACAATAATTGTTTAGTATCTTAGTATTTTGTTGTTGTTTAGATTCGAACTTTTAACTTCATTCACTTACATCATTCACTCAACCTCTTTCATTCACATCTTTTCCCATAACCATCAAATTATATTATAAATTCATTTTTTTTTTGTTGCTAGACTCAAACTCATAACTTCTTTTATTTTCTATCCTTACTAGACCACCTTATGAATCTCCTTACAAAACTTGTTAACAAGCATCATTGTCTTGATTTTTAACTCAAGATTTTTTACTTACCTTGTATATTTCTTCGAAGAAATAAGTCCTGTGTAGCCACTTCCTTTTCAGAAGAAAAACAATACATGTCAACACCCAAAAATATAAAAGAATATTAAAACATAAGAAAATAAAAACCTACTATAAGAAATGAACAAAACAGACATGATTATGGCTTAAGGTCATGCACATTAAAGTCTATTTAGTACAGACAATTACATAGTTTTGAACAATCCAACATTTATTTTTCATAAGTAACATTTATTGTTATACATAGATATGGAAATCCAGATCTATACACTCAACTATATTAAAAAAACTTAAACTGAAGCAACAAATTTCATATTAAATTTGCTCGAAAACCATGTACCACTCTATATATAATATCAACTCCATATATAATCTTTAATCACCTCATTTAATCAAACCAAAGCTTTAAAAGATGAAAAACAACCCATATATATAGAGAGAGAGAAAGGTGCAAGAAGATATAATAATACTATATAGTATATAGATAAATTTGCTTGATCTAACAAACAATGAGATTCGGACCATAAAGCTTCAATTCCCCGATATGAGAAGCTATAAAGAAGAAGAAGAGGCTTGAAATGAATCAAGGTAGGGTTTCTTCTTCTTGAGAGAAGACATCTTCATAGTCTTGTAACCCTTCTTCTCTATTGATTCCTTCTTCTTGTTTACTGATATTGTTTTGGTTTCTATGAGGTTAGAGAAAGCGAGTGATGGGTTTGGTGCGGTTGGTGGGATGTAAAAGATGCGGTGGTGATAATGATAGTGAGAGACTAATGATGATGAGAGGAAGAGGGGTGAAGACATGATGATTGCTGTTGTGTGTTTTTGCGTTAAAGGAAGAGATAAATATCTCAAACTTGGGGTTTATAACCTAATTCACTCATATTTATATTTCTTACTTTTAGATAAATTAAGTATTGTTCGGGATGTATGATTGTCCTCCCAATAAATGTCTTTTTTATGAATCAAACCTTTAATTTTTTGGTCATCTTGAAAAACCAGCAGAACATTATATCATTCGATCAATACTTTGATGGTCGGTAATGTATGTACTTTCCCCATGTAGAATTCGTTTAAATAAATAAATCAACTATGCCAATAATAATTTAATGCATTCTTTATGTAAAGATAGAGAAAGTTTTCTGTATGGAGGTCAGCTATCAGGACAACGACCAAATGTTTCAGTCTGTGTCTCGAACCAATCGAAATGATGATTTTTGTTACTTTTTATTTTTGTATTTTATATTTTATTCATATAGCAGTATTCTGATTAACCTGAGATAGGGATTGAGACAATGAGTAAGACAGGTGATCCATGTGCAAGTTAAAAAGGGAAATTGTCATGTAGTACTTGCATAGTCAAATAAAATGACTGATATTGCACTTAAATCTCATGGAAAAAGGTGAGGTGAGAAAGAAACAAAAGTCAGGGAGAGTTTATTCCTCACATCAAAGTCAATCCGTTAAAAATATCATCACCACGCTATCATGTTATTATCCTATAAATCTTATATTTATTTGTTTAAGAGGGGAAAAAATAGAGAAATATGAATTACACTTATAAGATTATTCTAAAGTCTTTTATTTTCATTATTTCTCATTGAAAACTCAACTGGAAGGTCCAAATATATCTGATTACAATTTCTCAATCTTCCTGTTTTAATCATCATTATGTTCCTGGATGAAACTTAATTAACCCTAGTTCAGGATAAGATGGCAATGTACACCTTTACGATTCCAAGTGCAGCTATAACTAGAATCCATAAGTGATTTTAAAGAACTACTATTCTTGTTTACAACATGTTTGGCAATTTTAGAAAACCATTTCTAGAGCATCTAGAATCATGTTGCATAAAGTGAGAAATTGTAGCTTGCATTTGGTTTAAGCTTTAAAAAATTAATAGGCTTATTGTTTTTTTGGCACTTGAAAATATATAATTTTTATTTAATTTATGTTTTGAAAACGAGGCCTCACAAGAAGAAAAAAAAGGAAGGAAAGTTAAATAAATGTGAAAGTAGAGGAGTACATTGTGGGCCAATATAGAGATTCAACATCATTAATTTTAGAAGAAATGTCAAATAGTATTATAAAATCATTAATACTACAAACAATAGTGAAGAATATGAGTGGAATAGCACTGATATTAATATATAATTAGATTAGGTGAATATACTTTGTCGAGTGTAAAAACTCATTCTAAAATTTTTGTTTCTTGTTAGTTGTTAGTGGGGATTCTGACTTTGTAATTATGTATAATGTTTTATGATTTATAGATAAGAAATAAAAAAAATCTACTTTTATGTATAACGTGTATATATTTATAATGCTTTCTATTTACATAAATTATTGTCTTCATATTCCTGTAAATCTTTCACTTTTCTCATAAATGATGAAGTGATGATTTTAAAATGTTTGTGTAATTTTTCATAATTTTTTTAGTGATAATCATTTGTAACTATTTTTATTAATCTTTTTGAAATAGGTAGATATGACTTATAAATAGGAATAAATTGAGTAATACAGTTAGACACAATAAAATTAAGATTAAAATTCACATTTAAAGAACTTCATTTTCGTAAAGAAAAATAATGACAGAAAGAGATTCATTATCAACAAAATAAATGCCAATTGGTTAAAATATTAATTGAACAAATAAAACGTAATTAAATCACTACTCAAACTAATATATATTTAAAAAAAGGTTCGAACATTTACTATCCTGCAGAGATAAATATATATTAATTATTTACAATTCCGAGTTAATATTTGGAAAAGTTTTGACACATATCACCTTTTTTATTAGAGTAAAACCCAAATCAATCAAACACTTCAAATTTAGTACATAAAGCAAAACTACATAAATTTATTAGAGTTCACTATAGCTCCTGTGATAAAAGTTCATGACAATGGATGATACTACACAATACATACATGATACATGTGAATGATGTGAGAGTGAAGATGATTCCATTATTGTAATGATTAAGAAAATGAATCAATTACAAATATGATTACGTTGATGAAATTTATAAAGCCATTGCCGTTTTGATTAATTATTTGAATTAAAACTATGGTTAATGTGGATAAATGTCACATTTACATCACTACGTTAACTCTTTGCCGGTGGTTATACCAGCCATCTTTTGGAAATATAAATAAATTTATCTATAAATTAATGTTTAAGCAATGGCTTTTAATTGTATATATGTTTACACGAGTATGGATCATTACTTTGCCTTAATGCACTAGTATGTCTGGCACCCTAATGAATGTATTACTCTGTTAGGATCTAACATTTTCCAATTAGTTGTAGGTTCACATTTAACCCTCTTTGTATTTTATGAAAAGTTTTATAAGATTATGCCTATTGTCTAGTGGTAAGTTAAAAGGATCATATTCTTTTAAGATTATAAGATCATATTTCTTCTACTCAACTAATCAAAATGTTAATTTTTGTTACATTTTGTTTATAAAAGATTTCTTTTTATTCATGTATCAATATATGATTAGTTCGACATAGAGAATAAGACATATGTTCTATAATTGATATCAATTTAATAAAATATTAAAAATGAGAGTGAAAATCATAGATAGATTTGATTAAATTTAATTTTATTGAATATTAAATGAAATTGAAAAGCAAATAACGTTATTTTTTTAAAAAAATTCCTCATGAATTGGATATTCATCCAAATAGATATATTAATGGATATCACTGGATATAATGGATGAATTCAAATTCATCTATCCATTAGAAACCATCCATTTAAATTCATTATCTCATGTATGATTTTTTTTTTATAATTTGGATAACATATATATTATGGATAATTTTACTACCTCTAATAATCCCATAGTCACCATTGCATCTTTAGAATTTGTACATAGCAGCAGCCATGAAAGTCCCAACAATGACCACCTTATGGGTACCCTCATTAATTTTTTCCCTCTCAGTGCCAACGCTCAATAGAGTGAGATCCTCATATAACTGTTATATTTGGTAATAATAAATTCTCAAAATAATTGTTTATACGAAATTCTAATGAAGCAATGGTTATGAATTTCTTTTTTTTTTTCTCGAAAAGGTTGTCAGCACAGCATTATTGTAGGACCCAAAGGAAAATTGAAAAGATTGTAGGAAAAGACAGGAATTTATCATTATCGTGGTTTCAGTGGACCCGTTTTGTTATTCGAGACGCGGGTCCTGTAAATCACATATCTAAGAATTTAGGAATGAGAATGTTCCTTAAAGTTACGAGAGGAAAAATGTAATTAAAGGACCCACTTTAGTTGACTTTATCATGTCCTTCACAAATAGGACTCCTATCCATTAATAGAGATGCAAGTGAATTTTTTATATGTATTATAAGGGTAAATGTATAATCTTCTTTTAAGTATGAAGGGCAAAAGTGACATTGCATCTTTCACTTTCTTTTATATTTTTGGGTATTTACCTCTCCATTAATGGAGAAGAGTCTTACTCGTCCTTCACACATTGATTGTAGAAGAGAAATGATATATGTCATATAATTTCTCTTAAATTTCTTATCTTTATTCTAAACAAAATCTTCCGTTAAGGGAAATGAGCGTCAATGTACTATTTTCAAGATCGATTTCGAAAAGACTTCAACTTTGTTTTTTGGAACTTTCTCGACAATATGATATCTTACTTTGGATTATGGAATATCTGACTATTACAACTACCTCGATTCTTGTTAATGACAGACCTAAAAAGGGGATTCATCTCCAATGTGGTATGCATCAAGGAGACCCCTTATCACATTTTCTCTTCTTAATTGTGGCACAAAGTCTTTCTGATTTAATGAGACAAGCTATCTCTCAACATCTTTTACTCATGACAAGGTGGGACTCGACAATATTAATGTCTCCTTGTTCCAATTGGCTGAAGATGCAATCCTAATTGGTGGTTGCTTCGAGCAAAACATATTGGCCCTTAAAAGCATTATGAGATTGCTTAAGCTTTGATCTAGCTTAAAATTAATTTCAATATCTTACTTAGAATGGGTTGCGAATTCTTTACAATGTCTTTGATAATTGTTTTCTATCTTTCTTTTATTATCATCACACTCTTATACTAACTTTGCAAAGTGTGATTAATAATATTATTCTTTTTTGGAGGAGAGAAAAGAGAATAATAAGACCTCAAAGTTGTGAAATACACTTGTAAAATGATTCTCAAATTTCTTATTTCCATTCATTTCCCTCTAAAGCCTAACTTGTTGCATGATAGCGAGTGAGATATTTATAGAAATGGTCTAATTATTGCTTATAATAAGGCTTGACAGATTCAATCACTAAGATGTTTTAACACTCCAGATGCACGACTTAAACAATGCATATACAAACACAATCTTAAGATCACACCACTCCAATTTTTTAATCTTGTTAGGTACAAATTCTATAGTCATTTTCTCTTATTTACTTTCAAACATGAGAACTGCAATATTTTCTTCATCAAGAATATTCTAAGTTATTCGACCTTCATATGTTATTGCGTTACAATGAATTCAAGGTCAAAGATTATGATTAAATCTTTTATCCCGTTTACACTCTCAGAATACTATCTATTTCGATTTTTTTAAATTTTAAAATTTACCAGGAGATACTGTTTAAAAGAAACTAGAAAATTCATTTTACTATTATGCTTTTCAACGTGGATAAAATTTGTATAACACAAGACTTATGGGAAAGTAAACTGGTACATGAATCTACCTCAGAATTAATGACTGGTTATCATTTTCCCCAATTAGAAGATTATTATTTTGTATTATTTGGAATCTAACATATATTTAAGGAAATTAATCATCTAACAATCAAGTTGATGATACATTTATTTGATCAGTAATGAATTTTATTAAAAATGAAAAGAATACATTACAAAAACAAATGGTGCTCCTATT